AATGTTTGGAGACTACAGTCTTCGTGTAAAATGGTGCAGCACCCCATATTGTCCTATAATAGAAGGAACTACTTATACTTCCTTTGGAGAAGGTTGGGTATTCCTCATTCTCTTTATCAATCCCTATAATTTATGGTTGTGGGGATTCCTAAAAAGATCATTTCTACATAACACACCATATTGCTGAAATTCCTCATGAAATCCTTGGTGGTACTGTTGAATATTTTATAATGCGCTTTGAATATGTGATTGACGCAAGTGGAATGGACATTGAACAAGTGATGTGATCAAATAAAATTTTTAATTTCCAGTTTGTGTGTCTTGCTTTTTATGCGTTACCTTTTCATTTGGTAGTCGAAATTTGAGCTATTATTTTTATTGCAATTTTCTTTTTCCTGATAAAGAATATACCAAATTTCAATGCGATACGTCAAACAGAATGGGCTCTATGGACTATTTTACGAATTATAATATATATATTTACCATAAATATTCAATGTACGTATATATACCGTAATTTAACATATATATTTGCTGGATTTGTTCTATAAGTGTAATTATTTTCCCTTGTTGTTTAATGGGAAAATTAATTCTTGTATTATGAAACATACGGTGTGTAAGAGCTTTATAAGGGTCGAGGAACAAATTGATACATTTCGCTGCATCCGAAGACTTTTACTGTACTTCATTCTGATGCCAGCCCAAACAGTGACCGAGTCATTAGAATCAGTGGCTAAGACCGCTGAATACTAGTAGTCCGACCAGCTTTCGATCCCAGATGAATGGGCCGTGTGCTTTGCTATATTCCAATAAGCGAACCTAACCAATCTGATGCCTTATGTCTAAAGTGTTGTGGATTATTTTATCCTTCCACCTACAGTATATAAAATGCAGTGTACCAAAATTATTTGAGCTTTCTCTAGATTGTATTTTGAATTGTTAATTTTCAGTGAATTTCTGTTCACTTATGAAGAAGGCCACCCCTTGGGAGTCTGTAAGTTGTGCCCTGAAAAAGCTGATGTAATTATTTTTCCTCTAAAATTCAGTCAATAAAATAGCAAATTTTGCTTTCTGAAAGAGAAAAAATGAAAAGCATGAAGTCGTACACTATACGCTCAAAGATGTATCCACATGGACGAATTTGAATATTGTATTGTTAATACAATACAATATTGTTTTATTAATTTACCAGAATATGAACTTAGAAATTTTATCAGCGAAGATTACAGAAATATCTCGTCAAGTTAGAAAGCTTTTTAGGAAAGATAATGGATCGATACTGAATTCCATACTCTCTCTAATTTTAAATGTTGAAAGATTTTAGCTGCTTCCTGCATCGAGTTATATACTTAGAGGAGAAGAAAGTTAAAAGATCCCTTATTAATGCTAAAAATAATAAACAAATAATAATAATAATAATAAGATTTTCTTGTCCATTTTGTCACCAATTCAACCCACGATTTCAAATAATAGATTAGACAGTATGATCAATGTATTAAAAATGGACTTGATTTTCCATCACATCGAGAAGTTTGAAGGAGTGAATAGTATTTCTGCTAACGTTTAAGATTTCGAAAAGAAGTTTCCCCGTGATGTATTTAGAAAAGTAGACGTGTGAATGTGAAAAACGTGTTTCTGTTCATGCGCAGCATACATCTGAATTTCCTGTCTTTGAGTGAGGGGGGATTTTATTTCCATATAAAATATATAAGGAGGCTTCTAAGTTCTTTGTCAAAGCATAGCGGTGTTGCTTTTTATGGTGCATACTGTTTGCATCGGTTTTCGAAGCAAAATATTTTGTTTTCTCGTACAAAAATGTAATCTTCAGAAGTCACAGACCTTCAGAAGAAGATGAACGGCTGCGGTTTAAAAAGTATGAATTCCAATTCGAAGTACCTTTTGACAAATATTTGATTATTTGAACATGACAAAAACATCTGCCTAAGAGGTTATCTGCCTAATAGCTTCATGGAGAACTCTCTGAGAGAAACCGTCTCGTATTCACGTTACACGTGGGAAAAACCAACCATGTAACCACAAATCAACCAATATTCGGTGTGAACTATCGGTATCCAGCTTTCTTAACCACTCCACCACTGGTTTTGTCATGTACTCGGATTTTGAATTATTCGTCATTAAGGTTAACATATGTACGAACGATCCAGATACTTCTCATTCAACAATTGAATCTCTCCATATTCGATATAGTTATTGCTATGTTGTTATAGGTCCTGATGGAATAACATTCAAAGCGCTGTAATTTACAGTTGAGTCGATATTGACGATGACTTCCTTCAAGACTTGTTTAAAGAACAGCATTTAATAAATGATAGTTTAAGTAATAAAAGATCAAGGGAAATATCTTTCGAAGAAGAAGCTCTTTATCAGCAAGGTAAAGTTTGCCACATTTGGTAGGAAGACATTAGACAAAGAATGTATTCAAGATTATGATTATATTGTGGGGAAGTATTGTAGAGTAGATCATGGAAGATGTAATATAGATTTTAAACTCTTGAAAAGAATTCTTATTTTCCTTGAATTAAAATATTATGACTGTCATTCGATTATACAAGGAACTTGGTAAAATAAAGTATAAAAAATCGAATTGCATCATACAAAATATGGAGCAATACATGATAGTTTTGGTGGTACTTCGATGATAGTTTTGGTGGTACATGATAGTACTTCGAATTTTGGATTTTTTACAGGTTAGGCCCACCTGATTGAAATATTTGACTGAAAATCTTCATATCATGAAAGCTCGCGACAATTCGAAAATAAGTCTTTCATTGCGAAAAGGTATTTATTCATTCAAATAGTTCCGTCGATTGAAGTAAAAAATTTAAGAAGGAAAAACTATTCCACTGTGATGCATTTCTTAACGATTTAAAAACGAAGTTCTTTCAAAAGATAATCATGATTTTGCTCAAATTGTGCAAGAAATGTTTAACATTCAAAATTACGAAGATCAACATGATTTACATTTTATAACGGATATACTGGTACTTGCTTGTGTTTTCGAAAGTTTAGAAAATTTCGTTTAAATTGTTATGGGATCGACCCTTGTCGTTGGTCAGGATTAGGTTAGCAAGCTCGCTTAAGGAATTCCGAAAATTAAAGAAATCCAGATATGCCTTTACTTTCCAGATACTGGTCCAGATATGCCTTTACTTACTGGTTCAGATATGCTTTTACTTATTGGTTCAGATATGCCTTTACTTTCCGCAAAATCTTTGCGCAGTTTGGGTAAGTACTGTTAAATAATCATAGCAAAAATTAAAGCCAATAATAAATATTTAAAGAATTGGGATTCGAAGATTGACAGCACATTAGTCTACTCAGATGCGAATAATTTATATGCTTGAGCCATCGTTCAGCCGCATGCAGCAGCTTTCCGTTCAGCTTGCTTATTTTAGATGGCTGTCTGAAGAAGATATAAAATTATTGCAAACTGATGGTATTGAGGGCAATGGAGAATATCTATTGAAGTTGGTTTAGAATACCCACAAGATCTTTACAATCTCTATAGTGATTATCCCTAGCACCTGAATAGCTTTAAATCAACCCTGAAATATGCTCACCTCATTATCAAAAGCTGCTAGATATACAGTATCATGTAATTCCAGGTACTGTCAAGAAATTTTTCTTAAAATACATTATAAGAAAGTCTATTAACTACATTCAAGAAACTTAATATGTTAAATTGCGAATATATGGACAAAAAGAAAAAGTTATCGAGTTATTGACTTCAAGCAAGGCACCTGGATGAAACCATATATAGAATTCAACACAGAACATGGGAAAATGGCTACAAGTGAATTTTTCAGCCTGAATGCACAATTTTTTGTTTAGAGAGATTATAGAAACATTTGGTTTATTTCACAGCAGGAAACGTGAGAAATACCTTCGCTGGGATTCGAACTCAGATCTCTCCAAGTGCTAGCCGGGCATGCTTCCATTTAAACTATGAAGGCATTCAGTAAAGAGAGAGAATATATGCTTTATATTCTTCCCCACTTAAAGGGCAATAGAGAGGCGGAGATCTATGGCCAAATCCTGATAGAGGTGAATTATCGTTCACCGCATTTTAGTTTGGACGCCACTGCAGAGTAGTTATATTTGTGTTGGAGCAGGAAACATGTGCAATGCGCTCATTCTATTTGAGCTCTGGACCTCCGAAATGCTAGCGGTACCTTCCAATTACACCACGAAGGCACAGAGCAAAGAAGGAGAAAATATCTTTTAAAACAATAGAAATTTGATAAACTGTATGATATACATCTAGCGAATAACGAAAAAATATCATCCTTTAAAGCTGTTACAATTTTTATTTCCAACTTTCCTGCAATAAATATGAAGAAACAACGATGAAATTAAATCGGCCCATACACGTTTTATCTCTGCTCTCGTCGTTAGTAAAATACGATGTAAAACTTTGAAAAATTAAAATTTGTAAAAAAAAAAAGTTAAAGTATTAAATTTGTTTAGATAGGGTGGAAAGATGAAAAAAAGGTAACAATTAACACATTTTTTTAAAAGCATGAAGAATATGTATGTACTCGTATGTAGTATACATACGTTTATAATATATTTATTTGTTTACTACAAATTTGTCATAAGCTGAAATATAATGAGCTGTTAATTACTTTGAAAAGTTTTAAACTTCTAGCTGTTGTGCGTATAGAATATTATTTAGTTTTTCCATGAAAGCGTAATTTTACTGAAAACGTAAGTAAAAATTTCTAAAAAATTTTTCAATTTATTTTACAGTTTTAAACATATTATTTTTAGATTTTATATATGCGATGTGATTTGCCAATACATGTTTAATTATTACCATTAGCTCATAAAAATATTTAGATTCGAATAATGTTTTTCAGGGCAACAGTAAAAATGGTTTGTTTTTAAACTATTGAGGGTTCAAGTTTGATAAAGTAACTCCTTTATTACTTATATAGTTAATTGTTTTACTGTTTATTACCACTTCATTGCTTATTAATTCAAACTTGTTAAGCACATATTATTGTACTTAAAATATTGCAAAATGTTTCCTTCGGATTTTTAATTACACAAATTGCATTTGTTATTTGTCTTTAATAATTACTAAAGTGATCTATGAAAATAAAATATTCCGAAATGGGAGAAGCTATTAGCAACATCTGCTGCTTTCATAGTAATGGATTTCATAATGCAAACAAATACGTGCTTCATTAGTGACACCTAGCGGCAAAATTAATAAACTCGGCTGTTACGTCACTTCCGCAAATTCATGCTATGATTCTTTTAATTCCGTACATCTAAAGAGTGAGCAAATTTGGAATTAATTACTTTCTAATATACAAATACATGTACTAAATAGCGTGTGGAAATAAACTTCGGTTTAGATTTTTAAATGAATAATTTTGAGGTAAGTCCTTTTTTCATTTTATCTAAGGTTTTGCTTTTCTTCTCTTGTTCTTCGATTTTGCTGTTTTTTGATTTTCATGGCAATGTTATCGTTAATCTTATACCATAGGCAGATTCTATTTTATATTATATCTAAAGAAATTTCTCGAATTTCTGTTTCAGGCTCTTATCTTGGATTTTCGTGTAAGTGAGTTACGTGAACTTTTGCAAATTTTAGGTCTGAAGAAGTCAGGTTTAAAGAATGTTCTTCAAAAAAGAATACTTTCGTATTTAAGGAAACCATGTCCGTTAACTCAGCAGAAAGAACTGGAGCAAAAAATCCAAGAATTGTATTAGTAAGTAAATTGTTAAAAAAGGTACTATAATAATTTTTCATTGATAGTAAGGTTTAATTTTCTACCTGTATTAACCATGTGAAGTATCTTTTACACTTCGAAATATGTATATTATTTTTCATATAACATATAAAATCATATTTTGGCAAAATTGACTGATAAGAGGGGGGAAAATCTAAAAACAGCCGATAGTAAATGCAGGCACTGTGCGAAATATAAAATGTTTACTTTATAATTCATTCATATTTGTTTCTCATTGTTATACTGCAGTGCATAAAGTCCTTAATTTAACTTTAAAATTTATTCGATATATTATTAATTTTTATAAACTGAGCGATTTGGAAACAGTATGTTATCAGTGCTCAACAGAAGACCTTTAATTTGTCTCATTTGCCATGTTTAATAGAATATTTTTGATAATTTAATATACAGAATTGATGTAAATTGAAATATGTTTAATATAAAATATATCTAATTGTTAATTCTATTAATAGACCGAATTTTGTAGAATTCATATTCTAAAAAAGCACTGGCAGGCTTTAATTTTGTTCATAGCCAACTCGTAGCATTTATAAGGTTATTATTATTTAAACTAGCTAGTTGTGATTTACGCCTTCACTGTAAATTCTCCTTTCCGTTTCTTCACCAGAGTGCAAATCAGTTGGAAAGTATATAAGATGAGGTTTTTGGATAGTTAGAACGTATTTCTGCCTTTCGAGACCGTGTTATTAGGTTTTGCCAGCTAGATAGAAATTATTTGTCTCTGCATTATACCTGCTGTCATTTAAATTTACGCCGGCTTAAGTTTTGAGCCAACTTAATGTTAACTTGTGTACTATTTGACTACCGTAATTTAAATTTAGCTGTTACTTTAAGTTACATCGCTACAAATGATGGTTGACCACGTCATGCAGAAGAAGTGCGTTTATGTCCTGTTAAATAAAAAGGTTTTTTTAAGTTTTTACAAGACTCTATTGTTCATTTGAGACACAACGATAATTCGCTTTACGTCTGCTAGCACTTTGTTACTAGTTTATGCTCATAAGTCAAATATTGTACTTTTTTGGTAATTCTAGTCTAATGATATTTTTAATTCTTTGTACGAAGTAAAGGGAGTATTGTAATCACGAAAAATTCCGAGTCTCATATTTCAACGAAAATATCCATTTTGCCCGCTATCGAATGCAATTTAACTACGTGTTTGCGTGACATCTGTACGTAAGTCAGAAGAGATTTTTTTCCTGACGTCTGTACTTGTATGTATGTATGTATCTAGCATAACTCAAAGCCGAGTCATTTAAATTTTGTAATGGGACTGCTGTAACATGTAAATGTGCTCCTCACTTTTTGGTCGCAATCGGCCACACCAAAAGTATACAAATATATGTATATATATATCCACTGTGTTACTCGGCTTGATGAGCTCCGTTTCTTTATTCTTATATGTGTGTAAATTGTGCATTTTTTTGCTTTAAAAATGATTAAATTATGTTGTTCTTATCATCCGATTAAGGTTTTTATGGCTTTAGTTAGCTTGCATGTTGTAGTTGTAGAGTTATCAACAATTTAAAAGTTATTTAAGTGTGGCTGAGCCTAATTTGTTTATCATAGCAGACATATTTATTTACATTTGAAACTTAGCAGAATAGCGGATTTGTTGCCAATCTAGAGAAACTAAGCTTTGCAACAACAAAGTAACGTCTTTTATTATTGCGAATTAAATTATGCTTAATTCATTCTGGAATTATCACTTAAATTATTTAATTATCCCATATGTTGACTCAGCATAGCGTCCACAACAAATTAAGGCAGTTTCAACAAATTAAGGCCTTCAGTGTCTTTTTTCCGAGTAAGACCAAAAGTAAACTTTCACTTTTGTGCACCGAAAAATCTGCCTTCTTTAAGTTTAATTACATTTTTTTTTTTACTTGTTTTAACTGTACTTGGTGTTTTATGTTTTTTCACATCTTTCAATATTTAATGAAAATATTTTGAATTTTTATGTATTTTTGCCTTGCTGCGAAGTGAGAATTGATTTAATTAGTAGCGCATGCGCATTAGGTAAGCGGCGCTGAATCATCTGTGAAAACTGTTTTTTTTTTTATTTGTTTAATTTCTTTTATACATCGTTTTAGATTTATAGTATGTGAATAGAACATGTGGTAATTCTTCAGATGATATCTTTTTTGTACACTCTGAGTTATAAATGAGTGATATGTAACGCTGTTAAGTGAACCTAGCCTCAAAGTGTGGCTGTGGTAAATAAATATAGTAAACTTTAATGAGTGCATTTATTCTATTGTGTTTTATGTGTTATCGACGAAGTAGATTTAATTCAAAATTTGTTAACTGTTAATTTAATATGTTTAAATGAAATGCAGGAAAATTGCATATAATTTAATATTCCGTACAAGGAAGTCGCGTGTTGTACATATCAGACTTTTTTTTACCATAGTAACCATATTTGTTGACATTTGTAGCAGCAGAATATTGAATTCAGTTTCTGCACCTTCAGTGTCTTTTTGCCGAGTGGGACCAAAATTAAACTTTCATTTTTGTGCACCGAAAAATCTGCCTTTTTGCTTGCTTGCCGAATTGCTTATTTTTGCATAGAAACTCTAATTTTAATTTTTTTTACTGTTTTAACTGTATTTGCTGTTTTATTTATTATATTTTTTCTGTATTTTTCAATTTTTAATAAGGGTTTATGGTATTTTGAGGTTTTATGTATTTTTGCCTTGCCGCGAACTGAGAACGGAATTACACTCATGTCCATAAATTAAGGATAATTTGGAATCACGCGGAAATCGAACTCTAAATAATATCACCTGTAAAATAACTACACACATCTTCAAGAATCATATGCAAATTTCAGTAAGTAACCAGATGACACCGATGGTACGTCACAATGACGAGAGTGTAAGAAAGTGATATATATAAGGAATACAGGCAAAGAAGTAAAATTGTTTGCAGGCACTTTATAAGCATTTCAGTGCAATAACCGAATAGTTATGACACAAAAGACGCATTTGGATGATTTTTTACGTGGTAGAATTATCGGCCGTCTGGAATGTGGGCGTATCCAACTGGAAGTATCAGACGAACTTGGAATTGCCCAGAGTGTCATCTCCAGGCTTTGGCAACGATTGCAAGATGATGGTAATGTGAGTAGACGTTACAGCACAGGTCGCCCCAGAGTTAGAACGCCGAATGAGGACCGGTATTTGGCCGTTACTGCCAAAAGAAACAGGCGGAGCACAGCCTCAGACCTGTCTCCTCAGCTCTCTTCAGCCACTGGTACGACAATTTCAAGGCAGACCGTGTACAGACGCTTAAGGCAGATTGGTCTATATGCTCGTAGACCTGTCAGATGCGTTCCACTTACTGCAACTCACTGTCGCCTGCGGTTAGCCTGGAGTAGAGAGCATGCATTGTGGACACTGCAACAGTGGGCTTGTGTGATGTTTTACGATGAGTCCAGGTTTAGCTTGCAGTGTGATTCTCGCCAGACTTTCATATGGAGAGCTGCAGGTACCCGTTACCACCAAGAAAACATCACTGAACGACAGCGTTACGGTGGTGCAGCAGTGCTCGTTTGGGGTGGAAGTATTCTGGGTTCCAGAACTGACCTGCATGTTCAAATTGGAACCATGACAAGCCAAATCTATCGGAACGTCATTCTGGAACAACATGTACGTTTGTTTTGGGGCGCCATGGGCGCACAATTTGTGTTTATGGATGACAACGTCCGTCCTCACCGTGCAAACATCGTAAGCGAATGCCTTCAATCGGAGGATATCACCCGTATGGTCTGGCCAGCATTCTCACCGGACTTGAATCCAGTAGAGCACGTGTGGAACATGCTTGGCCGACGAGTTGCAGCCCGTCAACCTCCTCGTACATGTCTACCGGAACTTCGGAGAGCATTGCTTTTTGAGTGGTGTAATATCCCCCAAGATCAGATCGATAATTTGATACTCAGCATGCCTAGGCGTTGTACGGACTGTATTGCATCGTCTGTGAGACATACAATGTATTAACAATCATACCAACCATGTAATATTGTTTTTTTTTTTTTTTTTTTTTTTTTTTTTTTTTTTTTTTTTTTTTAATTTGCTCCAGGGAGAAAAGATCGCTAATTTTTTTAATAATGTCAAACATATAGCATCTTTTTTTGCTCTTTACCTTTTGTTTAATAAATAAGCTTTACAAATAAGTCAAATTTGTTTTGCTTCTAACTCTTCCTTTGCCTGATTTTGCATTATCCTTAATTTATGGACATGAGTGTAATTGAATGAGAAATGTATCTCTAATGAAATTCGAGAAGTAAGTTTAAATGAAATGCAGCAAAATGTGCGTATAATTTAATATTCTGCGCAAGGAAGTCATGTGGTGCACACACATCAGATTTTTTTTAATTGTTTTTACTGTATTTGGTGTGGTGCTACTTTGATAGACGGTTGCACGGATTTTTGGCGATTTACTTTGGCGTAATTGTTGGCGCGGTTTTAACAATCAGCCATCTTGAAAAACGCTGTTTTTACGTTTTTGCCCATAGTAAAGTATTCGAAACTTTATAAAAAGAAAATATTGTTAAAAATAATAGATTATTTTTTTGTTGAAAACGATGTTTTTTAAGATCGCACAAAATGTAAATAAATACATTTACTACGAGTATAAAATACTAAAGGTTAAATTATTACTTTCATATAGCAATGAAATGGAATAAAAACACCGCTATAAAAACATTGCGCCAACGTTTAATTGGATTAAAATATTACTTAAACTGAATGTCGAATTAAAAACTATCATACCAACGTAAACCATCATACCAACGTTTAAAAGTATTAAAATTGTACTTAAATTCAAATGCTTTAAAATAAGTAAATAAGAACGCTTCGTACAGTATAGCTAAAATGACAGCAATTAGAAGTTTACTGCCGGTAAAAATGGAGGAATGTCTAATACTTTTGTTATTTTTACAGCGGTTATTTCTACCA